ATGAAGGCGATGATAAGACCATTGAGTTTTTTGCGTTCTTTTAACAGTGCTAGAGTGAATTTTTTTTTTAAACCACTTTGCTTTTATTTATATATTCACTGTTAAAGTCTTTTTTTAATGTAATTACGAATTTGTAATATTAAGGAACAAAAATAAAAAAAAATTTAAATTAATTTAAAAAAATTTCACGTTGGGTAGATTACCCTAGTAATATGAGCATACTAAAAGATTTCGAAGATGTAATCAGTGAAATTAAAGTTGCTTTAAATTTTTTGAATCGACTTTATGTGGTAATAACAGGAATTAGTAGTTAGTATATTTTTATATGCATTAACTAGCGGCTCTCATCTAATTAAAAAGCTATTAAATTTTTGGCGTTGTTAAGATATTTTCGCCACGCATGAATAAATATGTGGCGCGAAATTTTGATGCTAAAATAATGAAATTTAATTTTTTATAAAGAAAAATATGATAGCTAGAAATTTGTTTTATTTTTGTTTAAAAAACAACGCATAGAAACATTTAGTTTTGACTTTTTTAAAGATACCATTTTTGTGTAATATGAGCATGCTCAAATTACCCAGTGTTTTACTTTGAAATTACCAGCTTAAAATCGTAAAATTGCAGTGGTTTTGATTTCTTTTTGAATAAAAACAAAACTTAGTAAAAAATTTTAATTATTTTTACAATACTAAATATTTTTTTGTAATTTAAATTCAAAAAACTTGAAATTTCATTGTTTCAAGATTTGAATTAATTAATTTGGAAAAATTACAATCTAATACGTTACATTTTTTTGAGCTAAATTAAAATGATCATATTGCCAAGTGGTATGGGTAATATGATCACTTTTGCTACTTTTTTAAAACTTCTGTTTTTTTAAGAAACAAATATCGAGTGCCCAAATATAGGGTGCCCAAAATGTGGATCATTACAAGTAATCCCTAAAAGTTGCTTATTCGCATAATTTTTGGATCCAGCATAATTATTTTTAAAATTATTTCAATTTTTGCTTAAGCTGCTTATAATTCCCTAATCTACTCTATCTAACAGCATCTGTGCATCAACGTCTTGAGATTTTACAGGTGTAGTTTCATCTTTTTAATTATGTTAAATATACCTTCAGAATTTTATAAAGTTATTAAATTATAATGCATTATATTAGCCAGATGTTGCTATATATATAGTTTTTTTTCAGATGCAGTTATATCTGGAGGAAATTCTTCAAGATGTTATTGGACTTTGGAGAAAAATTACCGGATGTAGTTACATATTCCTAAAGATTCTGTTAGAGTTTATTGAATTTGCAGATGATATTGAACAGATGTTATTGAAGTAAAATAAAAATACAGATGATCTTGGGGAAAAGTGTACAGATGATCTTGGACTACTCTACAGATGTTGTTGGACAGATTTAGTAATCTTTTACCAAGTTTATAAGGTCGGCACAGTTTTTAAAATTACATAAACATCCAGCATTATTACATTATAACAAATTATTATAACAGAACTATTACTTTATAACAAATCAATGTTATCTAAAAAAAACAACCTAGAAATGAATTATATTTTTAAAATTGCTTTGTAAGCTCAGCTGTAATCATTTTTTTTTTACGAGGTTACGCGTAATAACGTATTTTTGTCACGCCATGACGTAATTTTTTAAGCCTACCTTTTTCATAACCATAATGAAACAATAAAGTTAATAACTTTATTTTTAAATATTATCATTGTAGGATATTTTATTTGTCATTATTATAATTAATTTAACTACTTAAAATTTAAATACGTAACAAAAAATTTAAAAAATGCTCATTTTGCACTAATTAAAAGCAACCCAATCATTTTACTTAACCGTAATTCACAAACCATATAGTATTTATTGCATAAATTACTATAGTACTATAATAATAAAATATTTAAGACTTAACTTACAAATCTTAATTTATTTGCAACTTTATTTTATTTTTATTTTATGTTATACTTACAAAAATTAATCTTAAAAATTAAAACGTTGTTTTTCTTTAAAATTATCATTAAAAATTTTATCGTTATTTTATCTTTAAATAATACACTAAAAACAATGTGTTGCATAACGATTTTGATACAGATTTGTATTTTAAATCGTACTTAGTAACATCCACTTAGTGACTTACCGAGTGAACTTTTAGATGTAAATTTATTTAAATGACGTTTTTAGACATCTTTGAAACGTCGTAGGTTTAAAAGTTATCTAAAAACGACAAAAAACAGACGAAAACTATTAATTTCAATAAAGATAAAAACAAAATAATACAATATAAATTCAATTTATTGAGCTTTCTCTCTTCATCAATAATAGTTATTAGCAATTATCTGGTTGCAAGTTATCTTTTTTCTAGAAAACTGTATTCTCTTTTTGAAGTATATATCGACATAGATCGATATACATTAAAGTATATTTCGACAGCCTAAAACAAAAGAGGCCAGAGTCATTTTTTTACATTTAGAGATAATCACAAAAAAGTTTACATTAAAAAATTTGTTAAAAAAACCTATTAAAATCCAACATAAAACATAATACTTTAAAAAACTTGTACAGCATAATACTTTAAGAAAACTTGTTAAAATCTAACATAAAACAGATTCTGTTATCAATAACATCCATTACATATGATAACAGAATCTAATTTAAGCTTTTATATTATTAAAAACATAGAAGCGTAGTGTTAAAATGGAGTGGCTTCTGTAGGATATAATACATAAATTTCTGTAGGATATAATACATAAATCAGAGACTTCAACACGTCATAAATATATTGGCGTAGTTTTATTTTTGGTAATATAATATCTATTGTAAAGGTTAAATCTTAGATAAGTAATCAGTAAAAGTTTTTGAACGATATCCAGCGATAGAGATTTGGTTTCATTTGATCTGTGAAATTAGACAAATTTATTTTTTCGTTCTAAATTAGATTAAATATTTTTAGCAATGGTGTTACAACAAATTAAAATGTGTTTTCTCTATGAACAGGAATTCTTTTATATTTGTTAGCTATAAATAATCTCCAAATTTACCAGCATTCCGATTTAAGCTTAATTTTTTTTAAATATAAATCACAATATAAATATTTTTGATTAGTTAACTACTTACAATTCAAGTTTACGATCAAGAACTCTAAAGTTTGACTTTCAGTCTACTTTGTCATATGTGAGTGTTTCAACAAGTAAAGAGAACAAATACATGTGCTAGGTTTACGTTAAATGTTTAAAGTTAGAAATTTAAAACACTAAAGAAAAGATTTTAATTACCCAGTACGCATGCGTCGTCCATGGAACGTCCGTCGGACGTCCATGAGACGCCTATTGTAGGCCATTTTAACCAACAATATTTTTATCGTCCTATGCACCATTATAACAAAATTTTGAATAATTTTTCTTGAATACATTGAACTTTGAATTTTTTTTTTTCTTTTTAGAGTAAATTTGAACTTTTTGTTCTTATATTGCTTAAGAAAAATTTTAAAATACAAGGATAAAATAATTAGTATAAAAAAACTATATTATTAAAAAGCATGAAGAAAAATACGTACAATCCTAAAGCTTTCTTTTTAAAACAGCGTGTAATTGAAATATTGGGAAAAAAATTTTAAATCATAAGTTTTTAAAAGTTAATATAAAAAGAATTAATGAAATAACAAGTGACATGATCCTTTCTTAGATTGCCAAGCTTATAATGTTCAACCTCCAATTTTTAGGTAAGTTTATCAATAGCAACCATTAATTGCTCAGATGACGCTGAACTACATCGTTCATCAACATTTTTTGCTTTAAATTGGTCTTAAACTCGTTAAATGTTGAAATTGATTTAAGCTAATTAGTTAAGATTACATTCTTACATTACAGTATATATATATATATATATATATATATATATATATATATATATATATATATATATATATATATATATTACATTACAGTATATATATATATATATATATATATATATATATATATATATATATATATATATATATATATATATATATATATATATATATATATATATATATATATATATATATATATATATATATATATATATATATATATATATATATATATATATGTGTGTGTGTGTGCGTGTGTGTATAAATATATATGTGTGTGTGTGTGTATAAATATATATGTGTGTGTGTATAAATATATATGTGTGTGTGTATGTATATATATATGTATATATATATATATATATATATATATATATATGTACATATATATATATATATATATATATATATATATATATATATATATATATATATATATATATATATATATATATATGTATATATATATATATATATGTATATATATATATATATGTGTGTGTGTGTGTGAGTGTATATATTCAGCTGACGTAAGCAATATATTACTAAAGTATTGGTGAAAAAAGTGCTAAGGGTCACAAATGGGGCAAAAAGGTAAATTGAGGGGCCTGATGCCCATTTGACCATTTTAGACGCCCATACAAAAAAATATATAAATTAATTAAGAATATGTGTCTTATAAAAATAGAATATAAAGTTTTTAAACTATAAAAGTCGGAACAAAGTCCTAAGGATCACAAAGGACACAAAAAAATAAAATTGAGGGGCCCTACCCCCATTCAAGTATTTTAGACGCCCATTGTAAGAAAAATTTGTTCATTTATGATATTTGTCTTCTACAAATTGACACAAGTGTTTTAAAATTGAAACAAAGAACTAAGACTCACAAAAAAAGCAAAAAGGTTAAATTGATGGGGCCACAAGTCTTAACATTTAATTTAGATTATAAACATTTAATTTAATTTAACATTTAATTTAAATTAACATCCATAATTTAGGAACTTTAGTGGAGATCAAAATGTCAGTCGCCGCAAAATACTATTTTGGTTGATATTTACAGTTGCTCGAGAATCTGGTAAGATAATCTGATATATTTTGAATAATTATTTTGAATAACTAAATCGAAGATTTTTACAAGTGCATCTCTTTAGTCTTGATAGTTGAGCTCGACCCAACCCGTAGAATAAGTTTATGATTTTTTCTAGTTTCATCTTAAAATATAATGATGTACCACAAATTACAATCAAACAATTATAAAATATTTAAATACATTTGACATGCTTCATAAATAATTGCTTCAATTTTTTTTATTTTCTACTGAATAATAAATAGACGTAACAATTTTTAACAATAAAAATAAATAATTAGCCGATTTATTAAAATAATTTCCATATTTAAGATTTGCAAGCGTAGTCTGTTTCCCACCAACTCCTTATCTTTCACTCATCTCTGGGAAATTAAAGAATCACAATTTAACATTGGTTGTTAATAATGACAAAACAAAACAGAAACAATTAAAAAATTATTTATAAATTACGTAATTAAATTATAAACTTTCAAACAAAACAATTCCGGAATCGAATTAACTAAAATACTTTTTTTATTGTAATTTGAGAACTATAATTAGTGAATTAAACGTCAAGTTATCAAATAAAGAAACAAAACACTTGTAATAAATACACAACTTTTATGACTTTATACAAGTACTTTACACACACTGGAAACTATTTATCCATAGAGCTTCTGTTTCAAAATATAACTTAATCTTCATGAATGGTTTTAATAAAAAAAATTTATGGTTTTATACTCTATTGTAAACTCTATTGCCATGAATCTTAGAATGCAGCAAAAATATGTAATGATTACTTTTAAGAGAGCAAATGATAAAAAATACAATATTATCGGTCAGGTGTAACTGGCGCTGTTAAATTTCAATTTATATAAAAATTTTCACATCAAACTACATGCTGAACAAATACTTTTCTTTTCATTAGTCTTCATTAATTTATCTAATCTTTTAATGGCGTCTTCATTCGGAGTCATATTTGCTACAACATTACTCAGCGCTGCTTCAAAGGCTTCAACGACGTTTATATTTAACTTTGCCGACGTAATTGTATGCTTTGCTCGTCCTCCTATTTCTTTTATAAAAGCATCGACAGCTTCGTTTTTCGTATTTTCATCGTATTGTTGCTGTTTATCCATTTTAGTGCCAACTACAGACATATAAACCTCGTGATTTTCCCCACGAATTTTTAACAAACGTTGATAAAACAAAAACATTTCAGAAATAGAAACTTTGTTATTAACTTCGTAAACAAAAATTATGCTATCAGCTTTATTGAAATACAAATCTAACATTCCCGGAAAGTCCCATGATCCTGACATATCGATTACTCCAACATTTACACTATGCCCCATAACGCCGTAAGATTTTAAGTAAAATTCTTCGACAGTTGGTATATAGTAGTCTTTATAATCTCCATTTATCCATCTGTTTACAAGCGAACTTTTTCCAGTCTCACATTTTCCGACTAACAGTAAGCCAACGCAGTCCCTTTTTCTTAGTGTCTTTAATGCATTGCGACGACTTTTTGCATTACCCTGACGTCTTGTTTGCATTTTTGCAAAAACTTTCAAGAATTAATTTTGATATATATTACTTACAAATATTTTCATATCAAATTGATGTAGTAAAGATAACAAACTGATTTGAAACCAGAAATGGTGCTTAATTGGTTTGTTTGCTAAATGAGTAGTAAAAAGAATAAAATTTAAATTAAATAAAATTTAACTTGAAAAATAAATATCAAATCAAAAATATAATATAACAATTATAAATAATATATTAGAAACAGATTCAATTTTTGAGTTATAAAACTTTTTTATATTTAATTTTACTATTTCAATTTGTTTAATGATACTTTTTTTTTACATAATAAATTCACGCAGTTCAAAAAGCCGTGAGCTCAGCTTGGAATACTTTAAAAGTGTTGCGCACGCTTTTATTTTTATCTTGTCTTTACATGTATATGTATATATATATATATATATATATATATATATATATATATATATATATATATATATATATATATATATATATATATATATATATATATATATATATATACATATATATATATATATATATATATATATATATATATATATATATATATATATATATATATATATATATATATATATATATATATATATATGTATATATATATATATATATATATATATGTATATATATATATATATATATATATATATATATATATATATATATATGTATATATATATATATATATATATATATATATATATATATATATATATATATATATATATATATATATATATATATATATATATATATATATATATGTATATATATATATAAATATATATATATATATATATATATATATATATATATATATATATATATATATATATATATATATATATATATTTATATATATATATATATATATATATATATATATATATATATATATATATATATATATATATATATATATATATATATATATGTAGAAAACTCGTGATATGTTATTAAAAATACATATTATATAAAACTTTTTTTTGTTACTGAGACAGTTTAAAATTATTAATTTTTTGTTTGCTTCTATTTTTTATATTATTGATATTCTGCTCACCTGGTAAACGTTGTTTTTTTTTTTATTTCAATCAAAGAATTTCTGTTTTTTTACCAAAACACTTATTAAATCAAAACAATTTTCATGTTTATACGTGCAGGAACGATTTTACAAAAAAAAATTCTGCCATTAACTTTTTGTAACTCAAAATATAGTTAAAGCCATAATTAAAAAATTTTTAACACTTTTTTTCACTAATTATGTTAAATTGTAATTTTTAAAAAACCTATAAAAATAGCTTGATAATTGTTAAGTTCGAGTTTTTATTTTATTCGTTTATTATTATTGCATGTAAAAATCTAATAAAATATATTTATAAAAAACTGACCAAAAAAATCAAACTTCACAACTTTGTACTTGTAGGAAAGGTAAAAATAATTCAAATAAAATAATACATTTTATGTAAGTCACTTTCATTACACTTAACTCTAAAGAAGCGCAGCGAACATTGCATAACATATATGACGTCATATCATCGCAGCTGCTGAATGTGTGTTTTTTTTTTTTTTTTTTTTTTTTGCGCAATTTAGAAGATGTGTTGAATTTTTTTTTTTTGAACAATTGTGTATTAAACTTTTATTTATTATTTGCTATTTTTATTATCTATTTATTTGCTTTTAAAAGCATAATTGCAAAATTTGTCAATTATGCTTTTTGTTCGCTTTTTAGCCGTTGCACGGCAAGCTTTAAAAAATAGCATTTCTAAATTAAAAGAAGTACACTTAGTTCATTTCCTTTAAGTAAAATACATAAATGTAGTGAAATGGAATAACAAGAAATCGTACCACCGATGTTTAAAACATCGATGGATATGAATATATTTATCTTTATTATTATCATTATTTTTTTATTTTTTTACGTTAAACCGGCATTTCTCATATTTTCAAGACGTCATTTGTCACTTTTGAAAAACAACACATGTCATTTTTTCAAGACGTCGTTTATCGTTTCATATTTCTTTGCAGATTATTTTGATTCCAGCATATTTTAAAAATTATGTTGTTAAAATTTATGTTTCAAACTTCTACTGTAAAGCTAAACATTAATAAATCAATATACCTTTTTGAATTTACATTTGCCAACTTTTTAAGCAAATAACATAAGTAACATATAATTTATAAGAAAAATATGCAAACTTGCGACTTTCCTTTGATTTGAAAATAATTTAGTTTTATAACTAATATTTTAGTTGATGCAATTGCTAATGAGATTAAATGAAGTTTTAATCTGATTACCAATCGCATCAACTAAAGTATTAATCTCATGTTGATTTTATTCACTAAAATAAAAAAAAGCCACCAGAATAAGCAATAAAATATTTAAAGTTTCCAGACTAGTTTCTATGAAAAGAAAATAATTATTTGTAACACTCCTTGAAACCTTAAAAATATTCAATTATATATTAAAATAGGGTTACATTAACATACTTTTATAATACTGTTTTAAAGGAAATGAACTTTCAGATGTTACACAGTACAAATTTTGCGTTTTTGCACAGTTTCAACATTAAACAGTGAAATCTTGAAGTTAATATAAAGCAACTTTTATAAAAACAGTTTTAAGTAAATAAATGAGTATTCTGTTGATTTATCTTTCTTTCTCGAGTTCAGAGGAATAAAAGCGAATAAAAAACTAGATTTTAATTTGATTACTCGCAATAAAGTGAATCAGACATACAGTTTACCTGATTTCTTATCATAATTCTTCCAATAAACCGCGTCACGTAATTTATTGCAAATTTCAACTCCTCTCTTCCCCTTGTCACAAAACGCAACAAAATTTAGAACTCAACCTCTCTTCTAGAAAATTACTTTACAAAGTTTTAAACCCCACCCTTGGATAAATATCAGATTATTCTTTTTAGTAAATTGAATATGTTTTTTAAATCACTGAAAGTTATTGTCATGTATATATTGTTTAAAGAAAAAGTTACATTTAGCTAGCAGAGATTAAAAATAAACACTTTTCTATTAAATATACTTCTATCATTATTAAGATTGTATTTTAAAATAACAAAAATAAGCTTTTTTATAATGTTCATTTGTAGTTTCTAATAATTGAAACTTTGTTATTTTACTATTGTTACAACTATTATTAAAGTACTAATATAAAGTAACTATTATATCACAGTTATTTTACATTCTAAATGAAATAATTGAAAGAAATGAACTAAACCTTAAATATTTTTTTAAACAAGTTTTTAACAATTAAATACAATTTTAAATATTTATATGAAACTTAAAAATATTTTAAAAAAGATCCTTTGAATAAATAATAAGAAATAAAATTTAAGATGTTATTCAAATTAAAAAGTTAGCGAAAATCATCATTTTCCGATGGCCGATAGAAGAGTGTTGATACTACTGGCCTGTGGAAAAATCTTTAAAAGTTAAGTTTCTTGTTTAGTTTTTAGTTTAACACAAGCTCGTAAAGGCCTAATAAATGTTGCTTTAATTTACAAATCAAAATAAAATATCATGTTTATGTCACAATCTATAGAATTCTCTTTTAATTCGAGGATCGATAACTATGGATTAAAAACGTTTCAAATACAAACTTTGTGTTTATAGATTATAAGCGAATTTGTGCTCAGCACTGGCCTATTTATGCAAAACTAAAAAAATTTAAAGGAAGTAGTTTTTGTCCAACGCATCCTCCATCAATCTTAAAAAGTACCATGTCTTTTGCTCCAATAGTGTCTGGAAAACGAGATGAGACTGAATTAATGTGCTCTGAAAGAAATAGTTAATTTGATGAGTTCAAAAACTTTAAAAAAATATAGTATGAACTTTGTGAACCGTACCTAAGTTTTCAATATATCTAACTTGAGAAGATTTTGGAGATATTTATTTTACTGGATATAGCCAATTTTTACAAATTAAACTGTTTTTTTTAAACAAGGGAATTATTAAATATAATTCTTAACTGGAAAATGCAATTAGTTATTTTATTATTAATAAAACAGATTCTAAGCGTCCAAGTTTTATTAAGCATCAAGTAGCTTCATAAAATAAAACAATACCCCATTTTCTCCAGAAGACATTTCAGATTCATTGCATCTTTATTTTAAATCTTGTTCATTATATTTTGATCTCGTAATGAAGCTTGTTTTGCAATGTGTACAAAATTTACAACAAATGAAAAAAAAAAAGTAAATAAACTTGAAAATACTGAGTATTTAAATGTGATATTTAAAGAGCTTTAGGAATTTAAAAAATACTTGTCTATCTTGCCTGATGAGGTGTACATAAAACCTTGGCTACAGTAGCACAGTACACAAAAAGCTGTGTCACCCATACTAATTGACCAATAAAATGTTGGATTAGTTCTTTAAGTTTTTTGTGATGAAACAATTGCAGTATCACGTATTCAATTTTCTGAAGCTGAAAATTCAGCACTTTTTGTTGAAACAGTTATCAAGTGTTGGCTTGGTATCAAAGGTAAAGCAAAAGGTCTAGATGTTAGATTAAATGATATTCGCAGAAAACCTTTTATTTAAGTCAATGATTGTCAAATAGATTTCTCAAAAAACTATATTTCTTATTTTGCTGAAAATATGAAATGAGTTAATTCAAAATTAAGAGATAAAATGTTAAACATGGATAATGCGAGTGTCTTGCAAAAAACCTCTAAAAGATTAGCACGTTGTGCAAAGTATTTACTGAAATGCGGTGTATCTTATGTATTGTGAGGACATATGCAATTAGATACATTAAAAAAACAATTTGGGAAATATTGGCATGGACTAGGTGGCAAATATCCGATAAGCTTGCAAAATGTTTTAAAAAAATATAAAATTGATAAAACTAGAAAGTTGCAAGCTGATCTTACAATATTTCCTCCTGCTCACAATTGTAATAAGTGTGAACTTAATGTGGAATTTGATATGTCAATATGTGAAAATTGCGAAGATCAGGTGCCAAATACAAACAAAAGCTTTTATATCTTGCAAGTTTTATTGATTTTAAACATTCAGAATTGCATTTTATACAATTTTATTACAATTTTAGAGGAAACAGGCACCTTTGATATGTTTCAAAAATATAGAGCTTTGATTAGTTCTTTAAAAAAGAGAAAGACTAAGAGAACCATCTAATAATTTTGTTTACTTTGATATTTATTGCTTTTTTAAATTTGATGTGACAGATGTGAATTTTCATTAACTATAAGGTTACATTTAAAATGCTTTTAGGAAGTGTTAAAAAAGTTTTTTAACATTTTTTTAACTGCATTTTGGCAAACTTTTTTTTTTAATAATTATTGTCAAAAACACTATGAAGATTTTTGAAATGAATGTTTAATAAAATAAGCAAAGTTTTCAACTTTAAAATAAAGTACTTTTAACAAAAAAAAGTCAAAATAATTTTTTTTTAAAGTTAAAATTTGCTTGTTTTTATCAAAAAATTTATTCTTTGTATTACATATGTTAAACATCTAAAATAAACATATGGTTATAAAAGTGAGATTTAGTCATTTTTATCTAAAATCAGTAAACTCTTTAAATCTTTATTGTAATTAACTTATTTCTGAATAATTCCAACTTTTTATATTTAAAATATTTAAAAATAATTTCAAAAATAATTGCTCCTAAAATTTCATCAAATTGTTTTGTCTTAACATAGCTCTTCATTTGTTTTTGAAGTTTGTTTACAAAAGCAAAGAAAAAGAATAATTTTAACCGTAAAAAAGTTGGCCTTTGCTAATTTTATGGAAATGACCAAGTTCAACAAAAGTGGTCCCTGAAAACTAAAATTTTATTCTTACTAAATCAAAATGGTTGTAACACCTTCTTCAGATGTTTGCCATAGTGGTAATGTGTTATATCAACCTAGCAAGTTAATTACTGAATATTACATTTTTTTCAACTCTATTAAAATGTACTTCTTTCATGAGCGTTTTTAGCATAAAATCAAGTATTAAAATCACGCTTGATAAATTTGTGTACTAAAACCCTAATCAATTTTTTGTATTTTGAGTTTTTATAAAGACCACTGTCGACTATCAGCACTAAAATCGGTTTAACCGATTGAACAATACCACTCCGAATAATGATGCCAAACTCTTCATATGTAAGCTATCTCTGAAAATTAAACGAAGGTAACGCAATTTTTGACGTGAAACATTTTCGATAAACTCAGAACTAACTGGCTGTGATGTTGTTGTATTATCTACATGGAGAAGCTTGTTCTTGTGCTGTACATAACTACTCATATAATAAAAGATAACGTTCATCTGATCATTAATAGATTTTTTGTCTGCTATTAAACATTTACCTAAATAACACCGTCTTTAATTAGATCCATCATGCACTAGTCCAAAATGTTTGCGTGAGTAATGAATATCAGTTTTATCTAAAGATTTAAGTTAGCTGAATAACTTTAATCGCTAAAGACGTAACAAGGTCAATACTTTCCCTGTCGAGATATACAATAACCGCCATTTAGTTGTCTACTGTAAGGGTATAACAATTTTACAACCTTTCATCCCTATACTCAATTTAGTCGAGTTTTTATGCAAAAATCAAGAAAATATCAAACATTTATACTATATTTCAAAAAAGTTCAACCCCCATTTAAAAAAACGATTAATGGAATCAAGAAATGTAGTTTGCGAAACATGTTACAGTACTAATAAAAATAAATAATTAAGATAATTTTACATTGCATTTGACAATAAGTATTTAATGTTAAATTTTTTTATGCTATGTCATAAAGACACTAAATCTTGCATCACCTTTAGCGCACGTTCTGCACATATAGTTGACCATTTTGTTAAAATTGCTCTGTGGACCAAAATGTCTTCAACAACTTTAATGCTTTTGGATGCTCATTGCATGATTCTACTAGATTAAAAAGATCTGCAGGATTGAATTAGTGATCACCAAACCATAAACCACACCCATAAAAAAAATTATTACAGATAAAGTCGCATGTTGCTTTAGCAGATTTCGATTCTTGATAGTCTGGTATTAGAATGTAAACAAGTAGAACAAAAATTGCTCTCGAGTTCCGTCGTGCATTGCTTATAGCAGGAAATGCTTTAAAATTCTCTTTTGGAAAGGTATCTGTGCTTTTAGACTTTTTTTAAAATAGCTATTAAGTGATGCAGGAAGTCCAGGTCATCTCTCCAGCGTGCCCAACTGACTTTTGTCAAAGGATCTCCAGTATTTTGAAATAATAATTTCAGGTTCTCGTACTCTTGCAGTAATTTTTTTACAAAAGGGCAATAAAGATTTGGTGATGTTGCTGATCTTCATAAAGATCATTCATGGCATGTTTTAAAAGAGTATCTAAAATATGATGTTGGTATCCTATAAAAATAAGTTTTTCTAGTCCAATGGTTTTCTGTAACAGTGTTAGTACCCTAATTCTTATTCCGGCATTTGCAGATGTTGTGTCAGATACAATCATTTTTATTGCTGGCCACAGCCCATATTCATCCAGCACAAACTTTATTCCACTAAATATTGTTTCAAATTCATTTCTTTTCCATTCATCAGCTCAAGAACAGCAAGTTTAACTTTTCTCTTTTAATTTTTCAAAATACTACTTGATACCCTGTTTTCTTTATGCTTCCCATCAAAGTGTAAAGACCACTTTTCATTTTTTAAGTTCTCTATATATTTTGCTTTTGCATATAATTTGCTCAACTTTTCTTCTTCTTTTATGACACCAGTAGATACCACTTTGAATTAGAGTAGGAATAGAAACTCCACCTTTTGATAAAGTTTTGCAGACTTTATCTGCGTTTTGTTACTAATCTTCGTAGAAATCACCAAATTTACAGCCAAATTTGTTTTTTGTCTTTTAGATGATGATGACAAACTTTCGACATATTCAGCTACAGTATCACTTCTGAAACACTGCTCTTCCGTTTCTGAAAGACCTCCTTCACTAGCTGATTCATCGAAATCTCGGTCTCGGCTGATGGAAGTTTATTTTCTTATCAACACTAGTTTACTTGAATGAATACCTTCAGTATCTTCAATTGTGGTACAATTTGACATTTGCAGACTATAAAATTCTTTATCTTTTAGACACAACCATTCCCCATTCTTATCAGTTATGTTAAACAATTAGGTAAAATTTTGAGTTCCAGGCTTTCGACTAACTTTGTCGAGTTTTTTCAAAAAAAATTTAATTTTCTTTCTGTAGCTGATTTCCCTTGCAGAATTGGAATATTGAGCTTTCTCCACAGTAGTTCATTTTCTTTAGCCAAAATTGCAACTCTCTCTTTTCTGCTTTTTATATTCAACAAAAAACTTTTAAATTGATCAATAATACGCTATTCTGTTGGCATTTTATTGATTTTATCAATACTTTTAATAATAGCACATCTTTTTGAAGTCTTAGCTTTTCAAATCACACTAAATTTGAATCCTAATCTTTTTTTTTTGTCTGAAACAAGACCTTTTTTAGCCAATATTGTTTATTGCGTTATTTATAACCCATTAGGGTAACACTAAAAAGGTAAAAAAATTATTTTTAGCTGTGGGGGTGATCTTTTTCAAAAATTAACATTAAAAAATTATATTTTTTGTTTATAAATAAATTTTCTCCACTCACGGTGATATGGGGAATTGAAAATTTTCTACAAATAAGTAAAATATTTTCAAAATAGTAAAATCAAATAATTTGAGTGTACTGAAATTTAGAACGAGATAAAAAAGTCAAAACAGTAATTGTCAAATAAAAACTACTATTAAACTTATGTATGTTTAAAATGAATATTTTTGAATAAATAAATGAGTGAAAATTACTGGCTGGTAATATATTTATTTAAAATAAAATTAAACAGGGTGGTCACCGACTCTAAAAATTGAACTCTTTGACTTTTCGATAACCAAATTAAATTTTAACTCAAAAACTTAAATTTAGTTACAATTAAAATAAAAGCAATTCCCCTAAAAAAAAAAAACTTTAAAGTTTAGTATGTTAGTTTTCCTCTAGTTTTTAGTTTGCCGGCTAATCATAAGGGTTTATTTTTTATAAAAAATGTCATACACAATGACATTGTATATACAATGACAAAACAGATTGTATAAAAAATAACAAAAAAAAACTATACAACTTTTATTGTTATATTATACAATGACAATACTATTGTTAATGTATATTCCATGGCAATAAAAGATATTTTGCTTTATACGAATAATGGAATTCAAACAGAATGTAATCTAGTCAAAATCTAAGACTTTGAATTTGACAAGAAAAAGTTATAACAGTATTTAGACTTTTTAGAATTTAATAATAGCATTTAGACCAGGGGTGTGGAGTCGTAAAAAAAATGTACCGACTCCAACTCTAATTCCAATCGATGAATCTTTCAGAGTACGATTCCGACTACGACTCCAAAGCAAAATTTTTGAAACGTTCTTAGAATTCTTTTAAAATAAACTACGCGATAACTTAAAAAATATTTTTTTTTCCAAATTTATGAAAGTTCTTTAAAGGTTTAATATAAATTTAAGGTTAAATGAATATTTTGTGTATGCACGTGCAATACCGAGAAGTTTTACTTTTGGAGTCGGAGTCGCGATTTTGTTTAGCAACACTAAATTTTGCTAAAAACATTGCGACTCCGCGACTTCGACAAGATGGTCCTAACTTAGGCAAGAATTTTGACTATTTGTTTTTGATATATGCCCTATATATATATATATATATATATATATATATATATATATATATATATATATATATATATATATATATATATATATATATATATATACATATATACCCTTTAAGTCGAAAAGTCACGTAAAATAATTAGTTTATTTTTATTAATATTGGAATCTATTTATGAGTATTCAGAAAATCTAGGGGCAACATATAAAAAAAGATATAATGAAAATTTGGCATTACTTGGTAGAACTTAGTACAAAATCTAAATTTATAATTTTTTATTATGCCTAATTTTTCTATTATAAAAAGATTATGCACAATAAAAGATTATAATTTTAATAAGCTTAATAGCATAATTAAACTTATAATCTTTTGTTTTACACAATACCATACCAAATCATTATTATAAGTTTTAACATGTGTAACCTTTAAATGTGATTTTGACAAAATCACATGTAACATAAATAAATCGTCAAAACCTTATTTTAATGTTAAACTATAACTATTGTAAAAGGTTTTGTTGGTATGTTTAATTTAACATTAAAAGTATAGTTTACTAAAGTATAAATTTTTAGTAAACATTCAGTTGACTTTTTAAATTTAATTTTGAATAATATATTGATATAGAGTATTTCAACGCAATTTTCTAATAATTTTAATTCCAGCTTGAACTATTTTATAACTATTTCTTGAAATATTTTAATTCCAGCTTGAACCGGAATGACCTAAAAGTTACAAGTTCCGGCCAAAATTCTGACCGAAACGGAATTCTGATATCCTTAGTTTAGAATAATAATAAGCTATAAAAAAAAATTTATTTTCAAAGCATGTTTGACTATTTGATTTTACTGTTTTATGCTACTGTTTTTTTCAGATTTAAGTCAATGTTCTTACAAGTTTCCAACATTGACAACCCGTAACGAACGGCCACAAATGATTTATTACCGTTTTTATCGCTAACTTATCAAGACTCCATTAAGTTGGTATATGTAATCGTTTATTTTTTGTCTAAATTGATTAAAATCAATTTAAGAACAGGACAAGTTTAATCAATTTTTAAAGTTTTATGATATATAGTAGGTTATTACCTCCGTCTCCCAAAAAAAAAACTTAACATGAGTTTGCGCCTTTATGTTATACATGGTAAAACACATCCATACAGAACACATCATAAAAAATGAGAAGAAACGAGTAGAAGATAAGAATTCTAAAAATGAAGCTTAATTGATTTATTTGATATTCTAAATCCATAATGTCGAGAGCTCTCCACTACTACCTAGGTAGTATAAAAAAAGCGATTAAGAAACATTGATATTGATTGAAAATAAACAGATATAAACTAATTAGTTATCTTTTTACATGAAAATACTGAGAAGTAGTCCCAGCGGGCATTTTGATGTTCTAAGGACGTTTATAAGACGTCTCAAGTCTTGTCCGTAAAACATCCTTAGTTGGTCTCAAATGAAAGACCTAAGGACGTCTATTTTAGACGTCTTTTCAAGACGTACTAGGGACGTTTATTGTAAACGTCCTAGAGACGTCTTTTAAGTCGTCCTATGGACGTCTCTGGCAGGTCTCATGTGAAAGACTTAAGGACGTCTTATTCAGACGTCCTAGAGACGCAAATTTACCTAGACATTCTTTTAAAAGTTATATAAAAGTGCAATGATATGCAATACACATCTTAGATGGCAAGTGAAGGTATAAAGAAAAATCAAAGTTTATAAAGTGTAACTTCATATATTTAAAATAAATTATTAATTTTACAAAAACTTAGAAAAATTATGTAAACAAAGTTACACTTTCCAAGTTAAAAACTAATATGTTTTGTAGAGTATAATCGATAGTATATTATAAGTAAAAAGAAAATTACTGGAAAATGCAAAATAAATAAAAAACACAACAGTTGATTGAACTTAAATAAGCCATCATCGATCAATATCGATATTGGTAGATTTTCTCTTGAATCAGTCAGAAGAATGCCTAATTAATCTTCCAATAAGTTGCATGAGATCCATTTTGGTTAAGCTTTTATTTGACTTTGAAGCAGCATCTAATAAAAACAACAAGACAGTTCAATAAGATCATAAAATAAAATACATTTTTATGTTCCATAGCCAAAGAAATTGAGAAAAACTTTTTTTTTATCAAAAGATCGTTTTTAATTTTAAAAGTAAATTAAACACAATAATAAGCTAATGAGAATACCAGTGAAAGCAATACATAGACTTTTTAAACTTTTTTTTCTTCTTTAGACCAATCATGCTGCATTCTGAAAAAGGTGTCTGTTGTCAGTCTACATATAAAAAAGATGATATATGTCATGCTGTCAAACATAAATGTTAAAATTCAAACTTATGCTAATTACTTACAAGAGCAAAATTTTTTAATTTGTATCAACTAAATTTTTACCGCCTATTGAAAATAACTGTTCTACCTAAAAAGAAACAAAGCGAAAGAAACATTGAGAATGTTCATGACAATTCAAAAGAAATATTGAAATAATATATCATACAAACTATAAAGACGAAACTCGTGCATACAAAAGTGATGCATTGGATATCTCCATTTACAATTTTTTTTTTCAAAAATTAAGTTTATCTGAACTTTTAAGTTGTTTATAACCTTTTGGATATATATATATATATATATATATATATATATATATATATATATATATATATATATATTATATATATATATATATATATATATATATATATATATATATATATTTATATATATATATATATATATATATATATATATATATATATATATATATATATATATATATATATATATATGTATATATATATACATATATATATAAAATAAATATATATATATATAAATATATATATGTATATATATATATATATATATATATATATATATATATATATATATATATATATATTTATATATATATATATATATATATTTATATATATATATATATATATATATATATATATATATATATATATATATATATATATATATATATATATATATATATATATATATATATATATATATATATATATATATATATATATATATATGATATATGATCTATATTGAGGTGCCCTTCGTTTCTTTGTGAGAGTGACCTTATACCCTACGGGATAAGTTACTTCATGAAGAAATAGAAGGTGGTAAGTTATATATTGGAAGAAAAGAAAATGAAAATAATTTTTTTATTATTATTATTAATATTATTTGTCGTATATTAAAATTTACAATAAAATAAATCGTGTTAATAAATAAGAGAACTGGAGCAAGCAGAAGACATAAACTGCCTTATCATTAAGCCTCATTGATATTGAAAAATTTTCAGTTTATATATAAAAATAAAAATTCTTAATAATAAAATATATAATAAAAATTAAAAATTGTGAAAAATAAAAATATATAAAAATGAAAATTGGTCATGCGTGAAGAAATTTAATGCAATATATCAAAGATTAACAAAAATTTTAAAATATTTCGACAAAAAGTAAAATTAAATTAAAATTGTAACAAAATCAAAGTGTCAATAACTATTTTTTAGATTTTTTTTAAAAATAGATATTTTAAATCAAAGTCTTTTTGTAATAAGTGATTCTTAGATTCTATCCTGTAAAGTTCAAGAGAGATGTTTTAAACATTATTATTTTTTGAAATAAACTTTGAAAAACGTTTCCATAGAAACGGTCCACGATACTGGATTTTCGTAAGAACTTTGTTTTAATTTAGTTTTTAGAACAACAAAGTTATTAATTAAAAATTTAGTAAGATACTTGTGCAAGATTTCACTAAAGTAAAATTGAAATACAATAGGAGAGAGTCTATGTTTTATTTTAAACATGAATTGTAGAACTTGGTGTATGTTAAGTTTATCGAAACTCAAGGCACCAAACTTCCTCAAAAGAGGTTCGCATTAAATAGTTCTGTGTGCATTAAATTTAATCATGCAAGCGTGTTTTTGCTTACTATAAATTTTTTTTTACCATAGTACAACTCCATACGATATTACAGTAAGAGATAACACTATGAATAAGTGAAAAGCATATATTTTTTAAAGAAGCAGTGTTAAGAAATGGTTTAGTTTTATAAAATATGGAAATATTTTTTGAGATTTTGTTTCTATATATTTTATAGGAGGCTTCCATGACAAATCTTCATCTAGTATTACTCCTAGAAAATTAACGATTGGTTCTCTTTTAATAAATATTTATTTGGAAACAGGGGAAATATCAAAGGAATATTGTCACTTTTACTAGGTTTGGAGATTAAAATAAATTTAGTTTTTTTTTACATTTAACGAAAGTCTATTACTTGTAAACCACTTGTTTATTTTTTAAAGTTCTTCATTAAATATATTATATAGAACTTTTATGTCTCTATTATTCTTTTGAATAGAATAATAAAGTAAATAGAATAAAAAATAGAGTAATCTAAAATACTTTGCACAAATTTATAAGTAATTTTTTCTATTGAGTTAATAAGTTAGGTTGCATATTTTGAAACGTTTTAAAATTTTTCTTGCATAAAATATTTAAAACTAGGGGATACTTCAATTGTACAAGTTTAATTTTACAACATATGTTTATAATATAAAAATCGAAATTACAAAATGGAAAAGTGATTGCGTGTAACCAGGGCCGTCCCGAAGAGATTTTATAGGATTGGGGATTATGGGAAGGAGGGTACCGTGTCTGTTTTATGCCGACTAAAACCAAAATATTTTTTTGCCTACTAACATTTGCCAACTATAAATCCAATTTTGCTGACTCTAGTGTCCAATTTGCCGACTAAAATTTTCGTAGGAGTGGGGGAGGAAGACATCGCCTTACCCCTTTCCCCCTCAGAACGGCCTTGCGTATAACTTAATGTAAAGCAAAAAGAAAGAAATAAAACTAGCGGCAATAAATATATACCCGCTGGGGTTTAAATACCGCTCTAATACTAAAACCAAAACGGCACTATTAAACTAAAAAAAAAAGGTATTGTTGAAGACTGATAAAATTAAATAGATTCTACAACCTAAAAACAACTGATCTTCTGAATAATTGATTAGTTGTAACTTTTGAACACCTTTAGATATAACTTCTTATTTTAGGAAATTTTAGCGCGCAAAAAAAATTTATTTTTGATCCATTTAAGTTTGGCGCAAAAAAACATGCTTTTCAAAAACCTGAAATATCAAAAATTCGAAAACTGATCTGCTTTATTTGTTGTCGAATGGTATATATGTATCTTTGTAAATATAGTCGACAATGGTTATGGCATCTATTTATTCATTTTGCATATTAATTTGTTTGTTATTAATTTGCACATTATTCTGTTTTTATATACAAAAATATTTGTATTTCTAATAACAAAATAATTTTTCTGTAATAAAAGCGATATATAAAATATATAAAAAAAGATGAACTCATATGTAATGGTCGTTTAAATATCGAACTTTTCTTATCGCAACAGTTTTTTCCAAAATAAACATAAATTTAAAGTCAAACATTTCAAAAACCGTTTGATCTTTTCCCATCAAAACTTTATGTGTTTAAGAATTATTATTTTTATGTATGCCTAAGAAAATTTTATTTTAATGTATGCCTAAAATTTTAAAATTTTATTTTAATGTATGCCTAAGAAAATGTATGCCTAAGAAAATTTTAATAATGCCTAAGAAAATTTTTATTTTAATGTAACAAACGTAATGAAAAACATTACAAAAAACAAAGTAAACTATAAAAGATTCAAAAACCAAGCAACTCTAAGAAGACACTAACTAATTTCTTCATTTGAACTTTTCACCATTTCGAATGGTATGGTAAAACTTTTCTGGAAATCGTCTAGAAAAATAAAACTTATGAGTAATATATTTTAAACAGTTACAAAAAGTAATTGACAATGACCTGGACTATAGGAAATTTTGATTTGAAAATCTTTAAAATAATCAGAATCATAAAATAAATAAATGAAAAAATATAAATAAAGAATAAACAATTGAAAGATGAAATTAACCAGATTCTTTCCTCATTAAACTCCATTTTTCTTTTATATAAGAGACCCAATGGTCTTTAACCTGCTGACTTTGCAAAATATATACAACAAAAATAAAAAAGCCTTGCAACGAATTAAAAATACAAAAACAACCATTGAAATACATCTCGCGCATCTCCGTAAGCTAACACTGCAAATATCCAAGTTGTACCAAGTAATAAAGAGCATACAAATGCACTTCGAACATTTTTTTTACAGTTGCACCTGCTATGAAGAACGGATTTATTTATAATACCTCTGAGAACAAACAATAGAACTAAAATATTTCCAGCCATTACAAAACAAACAGGTAAAAATAAGCCAAAATAAAACGGAACACCGTGAAGGACGCATCCGAAATAAATAGAAAGAACTATTTTTATAACTCCGTTCTTTACCAAAATTTTCTTAATTGTTATTTTCTATATCTCCTATATCTTATTTCCCAAATTTCCAAAATTCTATATCTTATTTCCCAAAATATACTGTAATAACATTTTTAACAACAAAACATAAGCACTTTTTTTTAATTATTTGATGGGGCGAGGGAGGGAAGGAGAGAAAGAGGAGAAGAGAGTCAAATTAATACAAAAATTATATGGTTAAAAATGAAACAATTTATTTGTGTTAAACTATACGGTTAAAAATAATTTTACTAGTCTATCTTACATCTCGGGAACGCTTTTAGTTTGAGTTTTATGGTAATCAGTTTTACTAGCAGCAGTTGATATGGTGAATATTAGAGGTATGCCTAAAAAAAAAGAGATTTTAATATTATTTCATTATAAATAATTGTAATTTACAGTGTAAATAATTTTACAAATAGTTTTTAAAAATTAAATTTTTTATTCATGGTATATATTTGAAAAGAAATCGTATATATTTGAGATAGAAAACAATAAAATCTCTATTTTAAAGTCAAAAGTCTGAATACTTACCCCATGCAAACAAGGATGACTTCAATAAAAACGTACGTGAACGTGAATTGTTAAAAACTTTTACAAATATTCTATATAAATTAAAACCTTTAACAGCCATCCAGAAAAATGTCGACAAAATAAAAAACTGTAACAACGAAGCAACAACCTTGCATAAAACAGGAGGCTTGGTCCGTTCCGCAAAAACATGAAACAAAATAAGCGTAGTCATCAGATTTACACACAAAATAATAAGTATTTTTGGAGCGCGTTTTTATCGTAATTTTCTTAAAAGAATAAATAAAACTAATAAACTAGCAAACTATATATATATATGTATATATATATATATATATATATATATATATATATATATATATATATATATTTTGTGTTTTGTGTGTGTATATATATATATATATATATATATATATATATATATATATATATATATATATATATATATATATATACACACACAAAACACTAAACAACCGTTCGTTTCATGATATACTTTTGGAGCTGTATAAACTAACTGTATTAACATTTGCTATAAGACTTTTTTAAGACTCAGGAGTTTTTACAATTTATTTCAAATTTGACGTATCATTGCAATGATGAACTAATATCGCAAAATCAAAAGAACTCCACCATTGTCAGTTTTGCAGCAGATCTTCCTAAGTGAGATTTGCGATTACATTTTTATAGATTTTGTTTGGCAATAGCATTTTAATGACGTTGCAAACACACTTAAAATAGACTCTATGGTTGACATAATTTTATTAAATGTTCTGAAGACTACTGTAAATCCAAAAGGTTCTTCGCGGTTCTTTGCTGTTTTTTTTGAAGAACCTAAAGGTTCTTGGAGAAAATTTAAGGTTCTTTAAAGAACCTACGGGTTCTTAATATTCTCTAATGGCTCTCTGAAGAACCGGCGGCTTATTTACAAAGCAATACAAAGAAACCACAAGGTTCTTCAAATCGTTTTACGGAAAACTTCGAAGAACCATAGTTTAGGGTTCTTCAAATCTTTTGTGAACGCCATTTTATTTTTCTAATTGGTCTTTATATGGGCAGACTAGTAAAAATTTATAAAGAATAGTATGGTAACAATAAAGAATGATTATCATGACAGTATTTAATTTGTGGCTTAAACATTTACTTGTTAACATTAATAATAAAGCTTAATAATCAAGCTTCAAATTTAAGTATCCTATCATAGGTGTCTTTCCCCTATATGGGAAATTCCGCGAGAAAGAGGAAAAAATAAAAAATAATAAAAGTTTAGAAGACATATACTAAACTCAATAAATTCTTTTTTTAACTATTTAAGAACACTTTTAAGCAAAAAAGTTGTTAAAAAAATTATTTTATCACACCATAGTATTGTTAATAAGTTGTAAGGGTTATATAAACAATTTTCGACGTTTTTATTTAGTCCTGGTGTGAAACGTTGAAAAATCTTTCTATGCTATGTTTTTAAGAATCTATTACTTTTAAGTTTAACTTAGAGAAAAAATTAAACACAATGTAGAATATTATTTAAAAAAACGCATTCCAACTATGTATAAAAAAAGAATATATTTATCAAATTAATGCATTACAACAGTCACAAAAAAAAGTTGAGAAGTTTTTTCTAGGCTTTATATCAGACTTTATAAAACTTAAAATATAGTAAAAGTAAACTTTTAAATATATATAAATATAGTAAAATATAGAAAAATATAGTAAAAGTAAATTTTTAAATATATATAAATATAGTAAAATATAGAAAAATATAGTAAAAGTAAATTTTTGAATATATATAAATATAGTAAAATAAAGAAAAATATAGTAAAAGTAAATTTTTGAATATATATAAATATAGTAAAGTATAAAAAAATATAGTAAAAATAAATTTTTGAATATGTATAAATATAGTAAAATATAGAAAAATATAGTAAAAGTAAATTTTTGAATATATATAAATATAGTAAAATATAGAAAAATATAGTAAAAGTAAAAAATTGTTATTGTTATGATTAAAAAAAAAAAAAAAAATTAGATGATAGTATTAAGATGTAACAAAGCTCTTGAGTACTCTTAAGCTGCTGTTAACGGCGACCATCTGGGCATATTGAAAGCTTAAATGCATATATGAAAAGTAATATTTAAAAAATAAGTTTAAAGGAAAAGAAAATAATTTATTGTATTGGTGACGTTAATTTAAATTGTTTTGATTACTACGTAAATAGCAACATTAAAAAGTTTTACAATTATTTATTCCAAAGTGCTATACCACATATTAACAATACAACTAGAGTAACCTCAACATCTGCTACCTTAAGCGACAACATAATAACAAATGATATTTTTTAATAAATCTCTTAAAATAGGTATAATTAAAAATGACATTTCGGATCATTTCCTAATTTTTTTTCTCCATTAGCATTAAGAAAAAAATAATAAAAAAGCAACAAAAAGTCTTTTACAAGCGCTCTTTCAATGATAAAAATATGACATCATTTAAAGATCAGCTCTCTCTAATAAATTGGAAGCATGTAATCAGTTCATTCGAAGCAATTATAATGTATGACATATTCTTTCAAACCTTTTGTAAAATTTACGATGTAATTTTTCCAAAACGTCAATTTATAAAAAAACCGATAAAAGTTTAAAGTCACCTTGGTTCAATACAGTCAATATACTGAACACTAAAGAAAAAAAGCAAAAAAACATATTACTGTGATTTACTAGAAAAGCATAAATATAGTTCAAAGTGTACATGGCAAATTATAAGTTAAATTACTGGTAAAAACAAATTAAAAATGTGCTCTATACCAAACAATATAAAAATGGATGGTGTATTTTTACATGAACCTAAACAAATAGCAAGCGAGCTAAATAAGTTAGTAAATAAGGACCAAATTAAGCTAAAAATATTCCTATTATGATAAATCCAATAAATGAATAAGTTTTTCCATTAATTTCTAAATTAAATAAATTTGAAGTAACTTTTTCAAATTTTGAAAATGCATTTAAAATGCTGAAAACTAAAAAAGCAGTTGGTCCTGACGACATAAGTTGTAACATAGTTATAGATTCATACAACGATATAAAGTATATTCTTTTCAAAATTTAAAATTAACAATGTTACACCAGTTTTTTAAGATGGTGAACCCTCTAATGTCAGTAATTATCGTCCAATATCTGTCCTCTCGGTTTTTTCAAAAATTTTAGAGCAAATTTTGTTTAAACAAATATAAAATCATCTGACTGATAATAATATACTTTACATGAACCAATTTATAAACATTTATTTGAATATAATTGAAGGTTGCATTGCCTACGATATTATTTACGCTATTATACTGAACGACTTTAAATGTAAATATAATTGCTGTGCTGGTTTTTGATTTATTTAAACTTGTATTATTAACTATTATTTCTTATTTTGTATATGTACTACGAACGCTCTAAATTGTAAAAAAAAAAAAGTATATGTATGCGTATGAATATGATAAGAGTAGCATTCTACACATGTATCACAAAAGAGTTATCATTATTAAAGACAAAAAAAGAGCATTAAATTACATTACAAGTATTTGATCAATATTTATCAACACAATAAAGATCAAGATCAATATTTATTAATACAAAAAAATAAATACTATAAAACGAAAAAAGTAACATCCTAATTATTTATACTTTATTGCTTTTTGAATTATTTATACTTTTTTTCCGTTAAAGTATATGTACCTTTTACATATACTTTAAAGGAAAAAAAAACATGCAACTCATGGAGAATTAGTCGTAGATATAGTAAATGAAGTAGAAAAACTCAATTGAAATACTAAATAATAATCATTGAATGAAGATTACTTGACCATATATTTTGATTTTGAGAAAGTGAAATTTGTCTGAAAATCACAGATAAAAGTTGCATGAGACAGTCGTTTGGAAGGCTATGTAATTTCGTTGCAAGCACCTTTAAGCAATTAACTTAAAACTATAACGAAAGAAATGTCTAAGTTTCTACAGCGGTTTTCTGTGACAAGACCTTTAGGTCTTCTTAGAGTGTCCACGTTCTTTATATTTATCCTTGACTTTTCAAAGTGTAATTTTTCTCTTTTATATTAGTATCTTAAACGTTTGTATTTTAAATCATGAAATAAAGAACAAAAAAAAAAAACAAAAAAAAAAAAAAAAACAAACAAAGTACGTTACGACCATCAGGTTATGTTTGTTTTTCCAAAAATAACTCATAATATTGCTAAGGTTGTTCAAGTAATTTAGAATAATTTAAAATAATTAGAAAGTATTACTTTTATAAAATATAAATAACTTATTTAAAATAATTGATGTAAAGATATTAATATATGTTAAGAAATAAAAACTTTTAACATAAAACTTTTTTTAGTTAAAACATTTTTTATAGTTTTATAGTTTTTTATAGTTTTATAGTTTTATAGTTTGCATTGCAACATTTTTGTTCATTCGATTTCGCGGTTTTTTGCATTTTATTTTTTTTAAATCATAACAGAACATAGGGTAGATTAAGGTTATATCAGCACCTTGGTAGCATACTTAAAGATTTTTTAGATGTAAGCAGTGAAGTTAAAGTTTGGTTTGTATTTTTCGAATCTACTTTATGTGGTGATAACAGGAATCAGTAGAATTAGCGTAAATTTATATGCAGTAATTAGCGGCTATCATCTAATCAAAACGCAGTTAAACTTTTTGTATTGTTTAAATAATATCATCATGCATGAATAAATATGTGGCACAAAATTTTGGTGCTAAAATAATGAAATTAATTTTTTCATAAAGAAAAATATGTTGGCTAAAAACCCAATCCATTTTTGTTTGAAAAGCAACTCATAGAAACGTTTAGTTTTCACTTTAGTTAAAGATGCCACTTTAGTGTAATATGAGCATGCTCAAATTACCCAGTGTTTTTAATTGAAATAACCTAGTTTAAATTCCTAAAATAGCAGTGGTTTTAGTTGCTTCTTAAATAAAAATATAAGTAAATAAGTAACATAACAAAAATAAGTAAAATTTTTTCAATATTTTATCAATACTAAATATTTTTTTGTAATTTACAATTAAAAAATTTGAATTTTTTTCGTTTAAAAGTTTCAGTTAATAAATTTGAAAAAATTTATTAACTGAAAACAAACTAGTTTATTTTTGCGAAAAACATAGCAGTATTGTTTCAACAAAAAGAGGCTTAAAATTTGATCTTTTAATGATAAGCTTGTTAATAACGAATCATTATATTCCAAAAATTAGTTTTAATTGTCAGGTTGGTATTTTATTAATTAATTAATGTTATTTTTTTGAGCTAATTTAAAATGCTTATATTACCAAGTGGTCTGGGTAACATCAGCACTTTTGCTATTGTTTTAAAACCTCTTTGTTTTTTAAAAAAAATTTTGGGTGTCCAAATATCAAATAATAGGTAGGATTATAAGTTGGGATCCCTAAAAATTGTTTATTGGCAAAAATTTTGGATCCAGTATAATTATTTTTGAAAATATTCTAATTTTCGCTTAAGGTGCTCATATTATCCTAATCTACCCTAAATCTCAAAAGAAAGCTGTTATTTTAATTAACATTTTTTAAATGCCTAAATCAGGTGGGGAAAAATCAAAAGCTTAAAGAGCAAGAAACAGAAAAGGTTGTTGGAAAAAGAAAGAAAGGGAAGTTATCAAAGAAGACAGATATTAACACCAAGAAAAAGAAACAAGCAAAAAATCAAACAAAAGTTTGCAACCAAAGCTTGTAAAACAATATTAAATTGATAATTTTATTTTTCTTAAAGAATTTTTTTATAAACTTATTTTGTGAACAGGAAGCATTAACCATTTAAACTTTAGTAAAGTAATAAGTATAAATAAATATAGCAACCTGCCTTGAGTTGCCTATTTTAAATTTAACAAACCCAGTATCAAAAAACTATAATTGAAAACTTTGATAATGTTATAAAGTTTCTACTTTTACAAAGCTTACATGGTTTTTATAATGAACTTTTTTTTTTGATTGGGTTGTTTTATTTTTTATTTTTTTTAATTTTTTGTTACGACTGTCACGGTTACGACCGTCAAGACAAAAAAAAAAGATAAAAATGCTTATAAAACATTGAGTAAAAACTATGAAACTCAGCATATAATAACATCAATATGTGCTAAATATGCACACCAAATGTTTACTTTTTTTACTCTGCCGCTCGCTGCAATTAGTCTGACAAAGTATTTTGTTCAGAAGTGGTAAAAAGTAAACATTACAACCGTCACGCAACAAAAAGTTAATTTTTGAAAAAAGTTTAAGACTTCAATACTGTAACTTTTGCATACTAAATTATGTAATAATATTACACATTTCTGGGAAATTTCAAGTCATTTCCATTTTTGGTTTATTTTTAATTACCTAAAGAACGTCAAATTTTACGATCATCACTTTCGCAGAATTGCCCATATATATATAAAAATTAACATGAATCTTCAAACTGTGAACTGTTATAAATTTGTTTAAAAAAAAGCAAATTATGAAAAAATTTTTCAATTTATTTCAAATGTTGACTGGGTACAACTGTACAAAAATATGCCAGTTCAGGATATGTATAATGAATTGATTTATTAATTCAACATTGCAAACAATTTATTTATTTCTACTGTTAATGTTTCACAAATTAGAAGTATAGAAACTCTTTGGATAAAAAAAGAACTTAAACCTCTGGTTAGGAAAAAGAAAAACTTGAGATAAAAACATAAACTGTGCTTGAAATTGGAAAGATGCTAATTTGAGTAAAGATTATAAAATACAATTTCGGATAATAAAATCTGAAGTAAAGCATTCTCAAAAGAATTAACAAGATTTAGTTAAAAAAGCAAAGCAAAATCCAAAATAATATATAAATATATTAACAAAAAGTTAGTGGTGAAAGATTCAATAAAAGCGTTACGAAAAGACGATGGATATATTTCACAAAATTAAATTGAAATCGCTAATATTTTATGTCAGGATAGAGTTTATCAGGTCTAAAAATAAATTTTTAGACCTGATAAACTCTATCCTGACATTAAGAATTAACATTAAAGAATGCTTCAGAGGCGTTTGTATTTCCTTTAACATTAATTTTCAGAGAACTATTAGCTTCAAGCCAACTTTAATCCAATTTAGATCAGCAAATATAACTCATTTTTTCAAAAAAGGTAACAAAGTTGCAGCTAATTATAGACCAGTTTCCCTCACATCAATTGTGTGCAAAATACTAAAAGGTATTTTTACAAAAAAAATTTGCTAACAGATCATCAACACAGATTCATAAAGAATAAATCATGCAAAACAAATCTATTAAAAACAGTTGATTTTATAACGTTAAACATCAAAAATCATAATTCAGTTGATGCTGCTCTACTAGGTTTTGCAAAGGCCTTTGACACAGTTCCTCATAAAAGATTGTTATCATCAGATTGTTACTAAAACTAAGAGCTTATGGTATTTATGAATTAGTACTGAGATGGATTGCATCTTTTCCCACAAATAGGAAACAGAAGTTTTTAGTGGTGTGCCACAGGGTTCAGTGATTGGACCATTTTTTTTTGTTGTCTATTTGAATGATTTTCCAGACACAAAAATATTTCAAAGTTACATGCTGATGATACCAAAATTTTATCAATAGTAAATTCAGACTTGCGTGCCAAAGAAATCCAGAATGACTTGAATAAAGCATTTGAATGGACTCAAGACTGGTTGTTGAAATTCAACATAAAGTGTGTTGTAATGCATTATGGCTCAACTAATAAAAATTACCCACTTTTTATCAATGGTATACAACGCCATGATTCTAAGTCTGAACAAGATCTTGGAGTTATATTTTCTACAAATCTTAAATGGAAATGCTGGGACAAATAAAGAAATAGTTTGCACACTTCGATTGTCAACTTGTGAAATCTCTTTATTTAACATTTGTTTTTCCACATCTTGAATTTGCAATTCCAGTTTGGTTTCCTTCTATGAGAATGGGAATTGTAATGCGAGTGAGAAAATACAACACAGAGCAACTAAAATTGTTTCATTAATTATCAGTATTAAATATGAAGATCAACTTATTGCTTTAGGCTTAGCAACCTTAACTGAGAGAAGAAAAAGGGGAGATTTGATAGTATTATACAAACTTATGCAGAGTATTGACAAAACAAGCATAGGAAAATGTTTTTCACATGTTAAAAATTCTTCTAGAGGGCATTGTTTTATATACCACAAAAACTTTTTAAAAGAATTGCAAATTCGTGGAACTTACTTCCAATTATAATTCCATAATTGTAACAGCAAAGTTGGTTAATTGGCCTTGATTGCTGGCTTATTAGCAATCCTGTCATAGTGTGTGCGACATCATATTCACTGTATTTGTCTAGTCCAGTGTTAAATACTATTACTATTACTAAATATTTTATTATAAACATTAGCAATCAGCTAACTCCTGGTATTGGGAGTTACAGTAACGTATAAGCTATATATATATATATATATATATATATATATATATATATATATATATATATATATATATATATATATCAGGGTCTACAGTTAAAGGACTCCCGGTCTAATCAATGTTTTCTTTTATTCTATGACGTATGCATTAAACTAATTCTACATCTATATTTTCCATTATTCTGTGACATATGCTTCCACACCTTTCATGTTTCCTTTTGTTTGACTAACTTGTTATAAAATTAATGTTTGTTTTCACTATATTTTAAATAGTTTTTTTTATTTAACAGTTTTATATTTGAAAATCATTATTGTATAATCGAAACATGTTGTTAATACTGAAATTTTTTTTTATAAATATATAAATGTACTCACTATATTGTAATATAACTACAAGAAAATTTAATATTATTACATATACAAAATATAAATGCTATTTAACTATCAAAAAATATATAAAGTAGATGGGAAAAAATTAAATATTTAATTTTTTTAAAATAAGCATTGAGAAGGTCTAAAGCAAACATGTCAAAAAAACATTGTTTAATGAGTGCAATTTAACTTAAAAAATTTGTCCTATTAAGTAGATTAAATTTTTATTTTAGTTTAAAATTAAAAAAAAAAAAATTATAAAAAAAATAAATATCTATAATCATACAATAATAAATTATTAGCTATAAAATTTAATTTTTTTAATTTAAGACACAGCTTCATTTAAAACAAACTTATTTATTTGTTACTAATAAAATTTTAGACAACTAATGTTGTTTTATGTGATAAATATTGTATACTGCGTAATAATATAATAATTATACTTATTCTATGTAGTAAAAGATTTGAATTTTTTTTAAGTTTCTTTGGTTATAAACTGTACAATTGAACCAATCCAGGATATGTAATTAAAAAAATGATTTACTTCATTTGCAGTGATACTGAAAAACAAACAAAAACTTACGGAAAAGCAGCATAGCTTATAATAGTCATAATTAATTCAGCAATTGATACTATAAAACCAGTCAGTGAAACATTGCTGAGAATAACAGGGTTGTTGCCTGATTGATAAACATCTAATATCAGTGCAAAGTTTGTGAGGTGATTACATTGACAATAGATTTCTGATAATAATAAATTGGTGGTGTAACATCCATCAGATGACCAAATTTGTTCTACAAAGATTAAAATAAAAAGTTATTTTTTTATATGTTTTAAAACTAATATTGACTACTATTAAAAGAAACTAATCAACGTTATCAGCAACAAAAAATAGACTATTCGAAGAAAAATGTTCTGCACTATAGTCAATTTTTGCTCCATTTTTTTTGCTTTTTTTTGCTGTCATAAAGCTTAGATTAAGACCTATTCATCAAAATTTAGACAAAAACAACATTTTTTAGCTTAATAAGATAAAAATTATAAAAGGATATCAAGCAATTAGATATTGCTTTTTAAAGGATTTCATTACTTGGTCAATATTACTAACTTTTTATTGTCTTCTTGTGACAGCAGTTGGAATATTATTAATTTGTTAATTATGTTGACACAACCCAACACATGTTGACCCAATTCTTATTTCTCGAATACCAATAATGAAACCTTGAAAAAACCTGACAAATAAATACAATTTACAAGATGAAGTTGATTAGGGCTTTCAGCTAATTTTATGAGATGGAGTTGATATGGGCTATCAAAGGCTACGATACTACTTTATACCATCTATATATTTTATACCACCTAGATGAAATTAGTATGAATCAAATCAAATATACCACTATGTAACAGCCAACAATGGTTCACATCAGCAATACATTATTAAGGTAAGCTATAACAATTCATATAATTTATTTCTAGAAGATTTCACAAACATCATCAAGACCTTTGACATCATTGACAATGTGCTTGAATCTTGCTTTAAAATCATCATAATCTTAATTTAAAGATTTAAAATAAGATTGTTTTGACTTATTAAAACATATATGAATGGTTTGTACACAATCACTGGCAGCTGGATAGCAGCCTTTTTAACTAACAAATATCAAGAAGTTGCACAAATTAACTACTTCTTTTATTGGTTGTAGGTCCTCAGTGGAGTACTGCAAGGTTTCTATATTAGGACTTCTCCTCTTTGTTATCTTCATTAACAACATGCCATTTATTTTTTAATAATAATCTTTTAATAATAATAAAAATAATAAAATTGACAACAATAATAATAGTATTAATATGGTGTCACATAAAAACCTTCTTTAACCAGAACAACTCATTTGCAATGAAATTAGTGAAAACTGACTTTTTCATGCAAAAGAATATCTTTAATGAGGATTGTAGTTTTTGATTTAAACTAAGAATGTTTATTCTTATAATATGCCTAATAAATGCTGTGTTGATAGCAGCTCCTTTAATTATAAATCAAAAATAAATGTCACTATGTATAGATAAGCTTTTAAATCCTAAATGAAAAGTTTAGGTGTTTTTTATAAACAAGTTAAAAAAAGTCAATGATAATAGTTTTGTTCAAATCCATCCTCCAATGCATCAACACAATTGTTGCCCTTTTTTTTTCTTCTACAAATATTGCTACTCAAACCATTTATCATCTCTAGTTCATCAAACATTTTTCTTTTTTGCACCAATCCTTTTGTATTTTGGTGATTTAATTAGATCATATTGTCAGATCAATAAAAAAATCATCAAATAAAGAAATAGATTTATTTTCAATAGATGCCTTTCAAAGACATTATTAAAAATATTGATAATCAAAACAGCTTTATAAGACATTAAATAAAACCAGTCAAAGATTAGTGAAATTATTATTCTAAAATTCAGTTTATTTGTAAAAAAACAAAAAACTTTAAACTTTTAAATTAGGATTATCGATAGAAAATTTTTTTTTTTTTTGCATAAAATAAATTTATAATGTGTTTTTTAATAAATGTTTTTAAAGTATATTATAGAGGTATTAGCATTAGTAGTGCATTAATGAAATATTACATTTATTAATGTTTTTTTAAAGTAAAAACATTCAACAAATATTCTTTTTGCTTTTTTTTTTTTTAATTTGATTTTCATACATTTCCCTTAATAATTAACTTTTTCTTTAAATACACTAAAACCTGTAATAATAAAACATTTATATTATACTTAGTAAACAAGTAGTTTAAAATATCCAAATGTAATAACAAAATTCACACTTGTTTTATCAAAACTAATTAAAAACATACTTTCAACATTGTAGAACTGACATGATTTGAAACCAAAAATAATTTTCTGATTAGAAAACTTCATTTTTATTAGATGGTTGGATTTATTTACATAAACATCACTTATGGTGGCAGAAAATCACACTATCTATAATTTAGTTTCTTTCTTCAAAAAATGTTTTGTCTCAAAATATATATGAATAAACTTTGATTTGACTTCGCTCACTGAAAAGTTGTGAAGGAAGAATTATGTAGTCTTCTAAGTTTGTATATTCATCTCTAGGATCATCGCTTGATATACTTACACTGATGTTATCTTTCATTTCAAGAGAATAAATATATATAGGTTTACTAATTTCTAAAGAAGTATATAATGTAAAACCAATATATTTTCATCGCTTTAGTAAAATTAGAGGTTTGTTGCTCAGCCAAAATGTTCAGTTGAGATAAGAATACTGCTGATAAATTTAGTATTTGATTTGCTTGTTTAACTAATTCTCTATTCAAACTTAATAGACTGTCTATAGTTAATAAGATGCCATTTGTAACCTAAAATAATAAATACATTTTGTTACCTAAACTAAAGTTAAAAAAATTGTCTTAAACTAAATAAAAATCTCAGTAATTTCTCAAAGGACTAAAGAAAATAGTTTAATTTATGGATTCACTTGGACAATGTTTCTTTTTCCATATACAGATATTCAGAAAATTCAAATTAAGACAATGTTTCTATGATTACTTTTAAATTCCATATAGATTCTTTGCACTTAAAATGTATATACGTTTCTTTTATTTGTTTTTATTTATTTTCTACAACTACAAGTTTTTGAGTTGCTTAACTGCAGTTGTTGACATAATGCAATTTCTAATAAAAAATTGGTTTTCAGACTGCAAACTTTAAGGTTTTCACACATTTAACTGATAAAAATACAATAACTTTTAAAGATTTCATCATTTCAAGTCATTTTGCATAGATGAGTATTTGACTTTATGAAAATCCCAGAAATTTTTTGCTATAAAAATCCCGGAAAATTATTTTATTCAAAATTAATTGTATTAAAATACAACAAAAACATTTGTAAACTTTTAAAATGGAATTTAGATGATTTTAGCAATTTCTAATATTCAAAAAAGTTAATTTGAATGAATTAAAAAGCAAAAAAAAAATGCAAAAGTTGTTGTATTTTACAATTTTATGTAAAAATATAAATATTTTTTCAAATTATTAACAAAAGACATCCAGAAATTTCTGGAAAATCAACGGAATTTTTAATTGAATTTCCAGAATTTTCCAGAAATTTCCGGGGAAATTTCTGGAAAATTTTTTCCTAAAAAAAACTCATCCATGATTTTATTTTTTTTATTTTCCATACTAATAGTTTGAGTCATTAAAAAAATATGTGCAGAAGAAAACAAAAAATAGTTTGAACAATAAAAATAAGACAAAAATACTATATTAAAAACAATAATTCCGAATTAAAAAGACTTTCTGCAATAAGTACTCAATGTAGATAAATTAATTTGAATATTGAAAAATGGGAGAAAGAAATAATCTAATTTATTTGATTTAATTAATGAATTCATTCTTACAACAAAGACAAAGTCAAACTTTTTGTACTTTAGCTTTTTTGTGAAACTGTAACTTTATTGTATATAACTAATTGTATAATTATTGATAAATATTAATATAAATTTCAAAATATAAAAAAAGCAACTTAAGGATTATTATTTCTTATTTAAGGCTAAATTTTGTCAAGCTTGTTGACATCCTGTTGACAGCATGTCTGATTAAAATACAAAAGAAAAACTTTAGAAAGTTATTGGTTAGTGAACAAACTGTTACAAGATTTTTTTGTTTGTTTTTTTTTCAAATTTTTATTTATAAAAATTTAAAAACATAAAAATTTATAATTTTGTTTTAAAAAGCAACTCTTTATAGTTAGAAACTGTTTTGTATGTTGTTAAAAACGCAAAAAAACTTTTTTAGATGTTAATAAATTTTATAAAGAACATTTTTTAACTCTATTGAATAAAAGTTTTGTTTAGCTTATTTTCCAACGCAAAAAAAAAAGACTTTCCTAAGATAGCTAAAGTAAATTTTGGTTTGAAATACCCCAAAAATTATTATTCTAGGTTCATTTTCATTTTTTGTGCCTGACCTGTAACATTTGTTGACACTTTTTACCGGTTGCAACCAATCAATCTATGAAATTTTTTTGGAGCTGGGTTTTCTGATGAAAATAGAACTCTGTTGCATGCTTAAATAATTTATAAACATAATAATCAGCAGTGTATTTTGATTAACCGCCTTAAAATTTAAAAAAAAAGGAGTAAAGGTGGGTGGGTGGGGTGGGGGTGGGGGGGGGAAACTCACCTCAGTCAATATTTGAAATCCTCTCAGGATTTATGTTTTGAAGTACCTACTGCATCTCCAGGAAATAAGCCACAGAACACATAAATTAAGTCACTGATATCTTACCAGCTTGGTGTTAGCATATTTTTGCTAAAACATAAAGTTTTATGCCAAATAATTTTCAATTTAAAACTATAATTTAAATGATAACTATTTTAGAAACTAGCGAAATATGTATATAAAAACCCTTTGTTTTTTAAATAGAATGGTATGTACCACAGTAACAGAGTAGTGTCAAATGAATGCATTTTAGGATCCCTCATGTTTACGTGGTATAGATCTTCCCAGTTATCAGTGCTGTAGGCTATAGGACTATTTCATTATATCAAATAACATAACTTGCTATACTTTTTAAAGGATTATTTTGGGCAAGCATTGACCACAAGACACTCATTAAAGCTATCAAGATGGATAATTTTGTATTCAAGGAAGACAAAGCAAAAGATGTTGCCTTTATCAGAAATCAGATAAAAGATAACAACATGTGTATCAAAGATCTGAACAAAGTCAGAACTGACTATTTATAGCTAAAAGAAAAAAGAGATCCGGAGTAATAGAATATCTTTTTTGGTAGATGCTCAGGATTTTGTACTAAATACATCAAATTATTCTGACACACTAAGTTCAAGTGGCAGTGAATATCAGCATAGTCCTGCCAAAAAACAAAACACAAGAAATTCTTAATCTAAACATATTCACAATAGCAAAGAAAGAATGACTAACACAATGAGAATAGCTATGGGAGCCAACATATCTGCTAATCAAATCACTGCTACTCTAACAAAGTGGATTATTGAAGGTGGAGGTAATCCAGATAAGCTGCCTCTTTCATATTCAAGTGTATTTAGAATGAAATATAAGATATATATATATATATATATATATATATATATATATATATATATATATATATATATATATATATATATATATATATATATATATATGTATATATATATATATATATATATATATATATATATATATATATATATATATATATATATATATATATATATATATATATATATATATATATATATATATATATATATATATGAGCAAAGCAATTAAGTATTAGGCATATTTAAGCAAATAAGCAAGCAAAAAAAATAACCATTGACATTATTTTAGAGAAAAAATACTAAATTACTTATTTGTAAAAAAAAGAGTACAAATTTTAATTATTGGCTGATGCATCAGCTTCGTCCCATGCATCATTATTGGCCTGTACTAATTGGCATTGACCGGAAGTAGGTATTGGTGCACCCATTACCACATATATATATATATATATATAAATATATAATGAAAGATCGAAAGCCTTATACCCAATCTTTTGAGATAACCATTTTGCATTTGGATTTGTTTGATCCAATGCTTTATTTGATACGAAACTAAAGTAAAGATAATAAAATTTGCAGCATAGCTTAAAATAAAAGTAATGAAAAATTTACTAGATTCAACATCAGAATCTATTTGCGCCAATGCTCGAAAATTTGTTTACTTGATCAAATATCTCAAAATGCATAACTTCAAACAATTGGGTGAAATACTTCTAATAAGAAAAATTATTTTTTATGTAAATATGACCTCTAGGCCACTCATTAGCTACTCCACTTAAAAATTGTTAGTCAAATAGAAATTGTGGGATTGTCTAGTATGTTAAAAGGTAAGTCTGAATTTTATTTTTTATATTCAAAACTTTTTCTTTCCTTATTTATAAATCAAAAAGAAAGTTATTAAAAATACACAGTCTTGATTAATATTACTGGGAATGTTCATTGATGCATTTTAATTTATACTTGTTGTTTATTAGTGATTTATCTATTGATGACATTTAAACAATAAAACTTGAAAACTTTTTTACTGAAAAAAAAAATACTGTTAAAAGAAAAGTTAAAAATTTATTGTTATTGAAATAAACATTTTGATTATTTTTAACTTTTAAAACTTTTTTATAACAAAATGAAGCAAAATTATGAAACTCAAAATGTCAAATAGAGTTCCTTGTTAAGTCATACAACTTAAAAGTTAGTAAAAATCAACTAAATATTTAATGTAAAATGTTAAATTTAATGTAAACTGTTTCTCAAATTATAACAAAACTATCAATCTGTATCATTATTATGTATTCTAGTTTTTAATTTCTTTCTAACTTTCAAAAAAGAAACTGAGTAAACACATTACAAAAAAAACACATCAGTATCACTGCATTAGAAAAAAAAATAAAATAAAATAGGCCTTAATTATACACAATCACACGTCATACTTAAAATATGCAAAAATCATTTACACAATACTTTTATTACTGTTTGATTGATGCTGTTTTCTTTTTGCAAAAAAACTTAAGTTTTGTTTTGATGTCACACAAATATAAAATTTGATTAGGTTTGCAGAACTCTAGAACTAATAACTTATTCAATACTTTAAAAACTTGTTTAACAATGTTTTGATAAATTTATTAAAATACGCACCTGATCTGATGAAGAATTAATATTGATAACATTATTTTTAATACTTGAAACTCGCAAAATATCTGATGTAAGTGTACGACTTCTATTAAACAAAATATAATTTAAATCATCTATAATATTTGCAACATTTTCTTTTGTAACGGTTACCTTAAAAAAATAAAAAGCCGAGTAAAAAATATGCCATGGAGCTGCCCATTAATGACATCAACAAAAAGAGGGGAAGGCAGTCTGAAATTTTTTGATAATTGTTGACAAGGGGAAGTGGGGAGGTTGAGGCTAGTTCGCACCAACAAGGGTAATTTTTAAATAAATTTAAATACTTAAAAAAGATAAATTAGACAGCATTTTGTTAACATTTAACATTTTGTATGTCAATAAAATTATTTATATTCCTACTTTTTAAAAACCGTGTTTTAAAAGACAGGAAACATACAAAAATAATAAAACACACAAATATGTTTACTCGTAATACAGCATTTACAAAAGTACATACAGTCTAAAAACTAAAAAAATTTTGTAAATTGTAACTTTTGGCTCTTCCGTCTCAACAGGTTGCAGACCACTAATTTATGCAATTTTTAAAATGTATAAATTTTTTCTTTTTATTATCTTCACTTCAAAAAAGTGTTGGAAGTTACAGGAAAAAAAAGATTGTAGTGCAAGATAACAATTGACAGACAACTTGAAACATTGTTTTCTATACAAGGACAGATTTGAGATTTATAGAGGTAGAGAATAGAATCCAGAATAAGAAAGTGTCGAGCTCGATGAAGAGATGCAACTTTAGTAGATGCTGATTTTGCAATGGATTTGATATAAGGTTTCCAAGAAAATCAGAAGTGAAAGTGAATCCGAGAAGATGAAGGGTAAATGACTCATCGAGTACATTACCGTTCATAAATAAAGGAAGGTCTAAATTATTGCGACAACAATTGGCTGAAAAAAATTGAGTTTTATCTGAATTAAAGTTCACCAGCCACTGTGAGCCCCATGCTGTAGCAGAAGTGAGATCTTTTTCAAGCTCAAATGCCCATCTATTATGTATTTATTATAAAATCTATTAAAAAAAGTTATTTAATTACAATGTTATATTTATAACATTGTATTCATATATATATATATATATATATATATATATATATATATATATATATATATATATATATATATATATATATATATATATATATATATATATATATACATATATATATACATATATATATACATATATATATATATATATATATATATATATATATATATATATATATATATATATATATATATATATATATATATATTTATATATATACATATATATATATATATATATATATATATATATATATATATATATATATATATATATATATATATATATATATATATATATATATATATATATATATATATATATATATATATATATATATATATATATATGTTAGGGCAGGCCATAGTCCCACATAAATTTTTTATAAAATTAATTTTACTGGTGGCTGCTTAAAATATTGTTCCTTTTACTATAAAAATCATTTTTTATTATGAAAGTGTTTATGTAGCACATCTCTAAGTACTGCCGCATTTCATTTTTAATGTGAATTTAAAATCTAAACAAAAAACACAAATTCTCCATTACATCTGTTCCGTTATTTAAATTATTCAGCTAAATACATACCAATAATAGCGTATTTTTTGTAAACAAACTGAATATGTGCTATTTTTATAATGTGAAATACTTAAATCAGACTTGATATGTTTATGCAAAAAGTACTAAGAGTTTAGCAAATAATTTTCAATTTAACAGCCTAAGTTACAGGAAAAAAAAGATTGTAGTGCAAGATAACAATTGACAGACAACTTGAAACATTGTTTTCTATACAAGGACAGATTTGAGATTTATAGAGGTAGAGAATAGAATCCAGAATAAGAAAGTGTCGAGCTCGATGAAGAGATGCAACTTTAGTAGATGCTGATTTCGCAATGGATTTGATATAAGGTTTCCAAGAAAATCAGAAGTGAAAGTGAATCCGAGAAGATGAAGGGTAAATGACTCATCGAGTACATTACCGTTCATAAATAAAGGAAGGTCTAAATTATTGCGACAACAATTGGCTGAAAAAAATTGAGTTTTATCTGAATTAAAGTTCACCAGCCACTGTGAGCCCCATGCTGTAGCAGAAGTGAGATCTTTTTCAAGCTCAAATGCCCATCTATTATGTATTTATTATAAAATCTATTAAAAAAAGTTATTTAATTACAATGTTATATTTATAACATTGTATTCATATATATATATATATATATATATATATATATATATATATATATATATATATATATATATATATATATATATATATATATATATATATATATACATATATATATACATATATATATACATATATATATACATATATATATATATATATATATATATATATATATATATATATATATATATATATATATATATATATATATTTATATATATACATATATATATATATATATATATATATATATATATATATATATATATATATATATATATATATATATATATATATATATATATATATATATATATATATATATATATATATATATATATATATATATATATATATATATATATATATGTTAGGGCAGGCCATAGTCCCACATAAATTTTTTATAAAATTAATTTTACTGGTGGCTGCTTAAAATATTGTTCCTTTTACTATAAAAATCATTTTTTATTATGAAAGTGTTTATGTAGCACATCTCTAAGTACTGCCGCATTTCATTTTTAATGTGAATTTAAAATCTAAACAAAAAACACAAATTCTCCATTACATCTGTTCCGTTATTTAAATTATTCAGCTAAATACATACCAATAATAGCGTATTTTTTGTAAACAAACTGAATATGTGCTATTTTTATAATGTGAAATACTTAAATCAGACTTGATATGTTTATGCAAAAAGTACTAAGAGTTTAGCAAATAATTTTCAATTTAACAGCCTAAGTTACAGGAAAAAAAAGATTGTAGTGCAAGATAACAATTGACAGACAACTTGAAACATTGTTTTCTATACAAGGACAGATTTGAGATTTATAGAGGTAGAGAATAGAATCCAGAATAAGAAAGTGTCGAGCTCGATGAAGAGATGCAACTTTAGTAGATGCTGATTTCGCAATGGATTTGATATAAGGTTTCCAAGAAAATCAGAAGTGAAAGTGAATCCGAGAAGATGAAGGGTAAATGACTCATCGAGTACATTACCGTTCATAAATAAAGGAAGGTCTAAATTATTGCGACAACAATTGGCTGAAAAAAATTGAGTTTTATCTGAATTAAAGTTCACCAGCCACTGTGAGCCCCATGCTGTAGCAGAAGTGAGATCTTTTTCAAGCTCAAATGCCCATCTATTATGTATTTATTATAAAATCTATTAAAAAAAGTTATTTAATTACAATGTTATATTTATAACATTGTATTCATATATATATATATATATATATATATATATATATATATATATATATATATATATATATATATATATATATATATATATACATATATATATACATATATATATACATATATATATATATATATATATATATATATATATATATATATATATATATATATATATATATATATATATATATTTATATATATACATATATATATATATATATATATATATATATATATATATATATATATATATATATATATATATATATATATATATATATATATATATATATATATATATATATATATATATATATATATATATATATATATATATATATATATATATATATGTTAGGGCAGGCCATAGTCCCACATAAATTTTTTATAAAATTAATTTTACTGGTGGCTGCTTAAAATATTGTTCCTTTTACTATAAAAATCATTTTTTATTATGAAAGTGTTTATGTAGCACATCTCTAAGTACTGCCGCATTTCATTTTTAATGTGAATTTAAAATCTAAACAAAAAACACAAATTCTCCATTACATCTGTTCCGTTATTTAAATTATTCAGCTAAATACATACCAATAATAGCGTATTTTTTGTAAACAAACTGAATATGTGCTATTTTTATAATGTGAAATACTTAAATCAGACTTGATATGTTTATGCAAAAAGTACTAAGAGTTTAGCAAATAATTTTCAATTTAACAGCCTAAGTATCTTTCTAATAAGATATTTATATTTTATTCCTTTTCTTGTAAAACAAAACAAAACAAAAATCTTTTGTTCTGATATTTATAGATTTTTATTTTACAACACAATAACTTTATTTAGTGGTTTTCATAGAATAAATTTAAAATTAAAATTTAGTATGTTTATCTGATATTTATTTTTTTAAAAATTGTAGACCTATATGTTTACATAATGTTTTTCAATAAACCCTAATAACATTTTTGAGAATTATCAAAATCCGCGAAATCTTTTTAGCATTACAGATAAATTGAATAATATTATATTCAATCCATTTAATATAATATTATTCAATTTATCTGTAATGCTCGCAACGTTTTCCTTGGTAACAGTTACCTTATGATAAAAAAGTAGAATTAGAAGCTCTTATAGATATACTCTTATCAATATATACATATATACAGAGGCAATTTTAAGGGGGTGTAATTGGAGGGGGTGGTACACCCCCTCTTCCCTTGATAAAGGTGATTTTCAAGATATAGTCAGTTTTTTCACCAATTTAGTCAGCTAGTAAGGTATTTGATACAATTCAGTCGGATAAATTTTTGTTTTGATGACATTTTATTTATTTTTTATTTTTTCATTTTTTTATTTTTTTAAGGGTCCCCTCCCCCTCATTTTTTTTGTTGAATTGCCTCTGCATATATAAATGTATATATGTTTTATTATTTATGATTATTATATAGACATATATATATATATATATATATATATATATATATATATATATATATATATATATATATATATATATATATATATATATATATATATATATATATATATATATATATATATATATATATATATATGTATATATATATATATATATATATATATATATATATATATATATATATATATATATATATATATATATATATATATATATATATATATATATATATATATATATATATATATGTTTATATATATATATATATATGTATATATATATATATATATATATATATATATATATATATATATATATATATATATATATATATATATATATATATACATATGTCTATATAATAATCATAAATAATAAAACAAAATGTTAACTTCTCCAAAAAAATTCGATGACACTATTTAAAACAAACTATGTACTGCAGGATCGTACCCTGCTCACATCTAATGACTTTTAAAAATACATAAGTAATTTTTATTGAATCAAATTATACATCTCACATCGACAGTCTCATTTATTAATACATGTAACTATAACCTACCTATATAATAAATATAATTTATTTAATTCGTCTATACATTATGAGTTTGCACAAAAGCTTTGTTTCTATTTGATAATAAGTTTAGTAGTGCTAAACTCATTCATCCTATTGTACAATGTGTCTAATTTAGTTACAAGCATTCTATTAAATCATAAAAAGTAGTAAATTTTATTTATAACAGTAATTCAAAAAAAAAAAAGCTGATTTTACAAAACTACTGAACTTTGTAACCTCTTAAATGCAATTTCTTACAAAAGAATAGTTTTATGACCAAACCGAAGAAGTTGAACAAATGATAGCAATTGGTTCACCACCAAGACCTGTTGACTCATATAACAACATGTAATTTGTTTACAGAGGATTGTGGTATGCCTTGGGTAGAATAACATATAAAAACAAATTGATATTTTGTTGTTTTAAAAATCCTAACTGCCATCAGTAATTGATTGCTTTTAAATCATTGTGTAAACTAATTATAGAATTCTTCTTTTTTTAATACTATTTTGACAAAAAAAAAAATTTCCTATTAAAATTACAGGTTTCTTAAATAAAATTGTTCAAAAGAAGTATTACATAGCATATTATTCCTTCAAGTTTTATTTGAAGATCATCCTTTTGAATTATTATTATGACACAATAAATATCTATTTTAGATTATTTTAGACTTGATATACTTATCGATATTAATTCAAGTTTAAACTACCATACATACATACATACATACATACATACATACATACATACATACATACATACATACATACATACATACATACATACACTCATACACTCATACATACATATATACATACATATATGTTCTTAAAGAGAAAGTGAAAACATATCTAAACTTTTCGAAGAAAAGCTGCTGACACAATTCCAGTAGACTAGTTACTGTATCATTTAATCTCCAATGTGAAAGGTACTTTTAAAAATTTATTTCTTAATAAAAAGTTGAAATACTCTTAACAATAATAATTTTTTTCCAACAGAGAATATATTTAGAACTTAAATAATGTAAGAATTGCATTATGGAGAAGGTATTTTCCCCCAATGTTTTTTATAATACATTGAACTTTTAAAATGATTGATGCACAAACACTAATCATTTTAATAAGTTTTTCTATCAAGATCTCCTTCTGCGCTTGTAGAAACAGGAACCATATACAACTTAGTGAGTTGATCATTGAAATAACTTGATAATTTTTATATGCAATTCCACTCGTATTTCTGCAGTTATTTGTAGCACAATATAAAGACCTTTATGAACAATGAAGAGTTTTATTTATAAAAGAATAATGCAACATAAAACAGAACATTTTGCAAAGTTTCAGCCAAGTTTGTTGTTGTGAACTTATTTCTTCACTATCAGGACGTTCCAAAATGCGTTGCGCATACAATTACAATCAAAACCATGTAAAACTAAAATTCGACAGCCTTTGTTCAACACTTGCAAATTTTGTTATGGGTAACTTAAAACAATAAAAGTGGATAAAATCATATAGTAGAGTTTAAGTAAATTTTTATAAAATATATGTTATCAATACATTTGCGGCATTTCCTTCTATAATTTCTGCTCCCAGTTATCTTGATTATATCAATACCTGACACAAATTGATTTCATTCACAATAAAAAAAAGGATACCATCCAATTTTTGCCTTTTAGATGTAGCAATATCTAAGAATAATAATAAGTTAAATTATTAACAACAATTTTTTATAAAAATACTTTATTTCAACTTTGCACTAATTTTTATAGTTTTACTTCTTTTGCATAAAAGGAAGGTCTCATTAAATGTTTAAATGACAGGTCTTTAAAAATTTGCTATGAAAAATTTAGTCTTCGCTTTGATATTTTAAACTTTTTTTAAATTACAAAACAAAACATGTTTTTAATGGACCTCTTGATAAAATACTTTATAATTAAATAATTCAATTTATAATTAAATAAACGTTTTTGTATTACTTTTATAATTTGTAGTTATAATAATAAATCAAAAACCACAATCTTATAATTAAAAAATCAAAATAAAAACAATGAATTACCCAACATTTTCCAGAAAATTAAGCTCTTGTGATTGCCAAGTTGTATTGAGCTTAAAAGGACAAAGATTCAAAAATAAACGAGTATCAGGTATCCATTCAGGTTTAGCAAAAAAAGTATTCCAGACACATTGTCCTGTTAATTTAGTACTCGTATTGTACTGACAAGGCTTTGTTATCGACTGGTTAACTGAAGTATTTGGCAACGTATATACACCTGTATAATCATTATTTCCAATTGTTTCTCCCAAACAAAAACCTATATGTAACAAAAACCATAAAAAAAAAAAAAAAAAAAAAAATTATTAAAAAAAAAAAAGCATTACTTTACTAATGATTAGCAAATGGTAATAAATAATAAAAGTTCTAACTTTAAAAAAATATTTGCCATTTTTTTATACTTTATATTTCATTTAAAATATGTATGTAAATGATTTCATTATTTAAAAAAAAGGTAAAAATTTAAAGAAATTAAACGATTCCAGCACCTAATCTTTACTTTAATATTTTTTAAGACAAAAGGTTATTCACAAATAAACCAAAAAAAAATGAGGACCAAATAAAAAATTGAAATAATGAGAGTAATCAATCAAAAATCACAACTTTTACAAAATTAAAATAAATTAATTAAAAAGTATTAGATAAAACAAACAAACAAAATGTTCTTATGTTCTTTTAATTGATTGCTTTTGTTTTGTAAAAGACAAACATAAAAAAAAAATGTATTCCTTTAAAGCAAACTACAAGGTGAAGGTTCTCCTTTTCAACTGAATCTTGCAATACCATGCTGATTTCAAACTTGGTTTCATTGCACAGCATATTTTTGATAAGTAAGCATCACAAAAGTTACCATATTGTTATATCATCGCCATTATAATGTTATATTATAGCCATCATTCCGTTTTTTACAACCTACAACTTCATTATAACTCTGTTTGTACAGTATGCTCTAATGACAAATTGCACTTGCTCAATAGTATACACTATAATACACTGTTTATACACTATACAATGATCATTCAATATGTTATAACGAATATATTAGATATTTTTATCACCAGAACATTAAAACAAACAAGTATGGCTCTTCATGTAACCTTGCTGAACACTTCATTTTTGCCAAAGTTCAGATTGATTTTATTGCAACAAGATATCTAATTTTTTTTTTGTTTTTTAGTATTTAACTGTTGTTTTTTTTTATAAAAATGCTTGTACAAAAAATTTGTACTTCTGATAATATAAATATGCTAATTTAATATTATTATTAGTCGAGTTACGTCATTTTCTAGGCTTTTCTATTTTAAAGTAGTTTCTAGGCTTTTCTATACGCGTTTTTTTTTTTTTAATTTTATTTACTAACAACGCGTACTGCTAGTATTTATAATTTTCTCTTTAATTTTATTGAGTTTAAATAAATGTAATTTTGCATATATATATTGTTAACAAGACATTGGTCTGTGAGCAACTCTATTTCACCATTACTTGTATTGAAACCACTTTTACATGTGCAGATGTACCCCCCCAACAAAATTCTCACATATTACATTAACTGAGCAGTGGCTTTTGTTGGACAAAACACATTCATTAATATCTATAAAATTAAAAAAAAACTTATACGTTACAAAGTTTATGTAAAATCATAAAACAGAAAAATCTTAAAAATGCAAAATATTTTGAAAAACAATTTGACAAGGCGAAACAACTTATTATTAATCGCGTAAATTACCTAGACACTGATCAGAAAGAGATTCTATTTCTCCTTTACTTGTATTGAACCCACTTAGACATATGCAGTTGTAGCCACCAACCAAATTATTACATGTGGCATTATAAGAGCAGTTGTTTTTGCTCAACAATTTACATTCGTCAATATCTAAAACCAAAAAAAATGTTAGATGCCACAAGTTTTTATTCAAGTTAAACAATATTAAAAAATATTAAAACAAGCAAACAAAGAAAAAGTTCTTTTGTTCTCTTAATTGTTTGCTTTTGTTTTGCAAAAGACATACATAAAAAAAATATGTGTTCTTTTAAAGAAAATTACAAACTAAAGGCTCTCGTTTTTAACTATATTTTGCTACTGTTTTATTATTATGTTGGTGAATTGTACGTGTTAGAAATCACGTAGATGCGTGTTGAAAGTCACGCATCTACGTAAGTTATTTCAACTGTAATTAACAGTATATTCTAATGGGACTTTTGAATTTAATATATATAGAGAAAAGATTTTTGTATAGGATGTTAAAAAGAATATATAAAGCTATAGATTATATACGTTATTAAATTAAATGGACGCGACGATAAAACAGCTACACCATGCTGATTTCAAACTTGGTTTCATTGCTCAGCACATTGTTGACAATGTGCTTCCTAAAACTAA